CTGCCTGCTTTTATTGTAAATTGTAAATTTTGCCTAAAAGATGATGATGATGATAAATAATGACTTCTTTTAATTTGAAGAAGAAGCAGAGGAAGATGTCAATTGAAGAAGAACTTATTATTTATTCTTATTATTAGTCTTTTTGGGAGGATTTCATCATGAGCTCTATGAGACACGAATTATCTATCTATCAGTTAGAGAGAAAGAAGCATTGTAAAACAAGTTGAGTGGAGGGGAGTATTGGATAGCCAGATATTTTATCAGCCACCCCAGTTTGAGGCGCTTACTTCAGTAGCACGCTGGCTGGCTGGGTTCGAGTCCTGGCGGTTTACACAGAATGATAAGTTCTTGTTTGTTTTTGGTCGAATTACAAAACACACAGACACACTCACAGTTGGTGTGATGATCTAGGACAGCAGTATTTTACCTCAAAATATACTACCGAAAACGAACACACAAAGAAACAAACAAACAGAACTTATCATTGTCTGTAAACTATTGAAATATATGATTATTATTTATTTATTTACTGACATTAACTACTACTCCGGGAGAATTAATTACAACTATAGAAATGTAAACGTTACTTCATTGGAATGAAGTTAGCTGGTTAGCTAGCTAGCTAGCTAGCTAGCTTACTTACAATAATATATAACCTTACATGTCATAGTAATTTTTTTTAGGTAAAGATAGCTAGCTAGCTATAGGTGTATGAAGGGGTGCCGTCAACTAACAATTATACAACTCCTCATCCAACAGTTGTAGTAAAATGCTGTATACCAAGTAATCCACCCATACACAAAAGGCAGGGAAACTCACAGAGTCCTTCGAAGAAGAAGAAGAAGAAGAAGCGAAGACGGGAGTAAGACAAGGCTGGCTAACTGCCTACTATCTCCAACGATTGTTTTCCTGATTGCAGTAGACTGGACAATGCAGCAGACAGACAGACAGACAGCGACGGGCCGGGCCAAGCCGGGAAACCAAGAGACAGGCATCAAACGGATCCATACCAAAAACAATTAAATGATCTGCATTTCGCCCATGATATATTTGCATATATATATATATACGACTGATTTCCCTTGCTTCCTTTCTCATACAAACTGGAAAATATGCAAATGAAAAGCAACAAGTTGGCGATAGACGACGAAGACGACAACGAAGAAGAAGCATCAAAATTGGGACAAAAATAGCCGGTGAACATAGAGAAGAAAACACAGGTGATGTAGATTATTAGGGGCCGACAGCAACAGAAACAATCACAACGACAACAACAACCACAACAGACAATCAGCATCAGTGGGAGATGGAAAAGTGAGAGAAGAAGCAACATTCATCATTACCTGCCTGAAAAGCATCGTCTCAACTACGGACGGACGGACGGACTGACTGACGCAATTGATGAGGAAGCAGGATATAGAAAAACGTGGATCCGGAATGCAAGGAAAGCTTTAATTACTCCCTCTCAAATTTCAGTGTGGAGATGAACAGGACTGAATGACTCAGCGCTGACTCAGCATGAAAATAACATCCGGATCTCCGACGCCAATATGAACAAACTGCAGACCTTCATCAACAGCTGCAACAACTGCAAAACTTTGCTTGAGAACACATGGCCGGCCAGGTAAGGAAAACTTTGGCAGGGAAACCAACGCAATGGAGATGTACGGCTGTAGCCATGTGTTCCTCTAGGAATGAAACGAGACGATAATAATAATAATAATAATAATAATAATAATAATAATAATAATAATAGTAATAATGTACCGAAAATGAGAATTGAATACGCGAACTGACAAATATCCATCTCCGTATACTTATCGTCCTCTGTCTCTTAAGTGACGATGCCATGTAGTCATCGGCATTCTTGGCTGGGCTGGGCTGGGCTGGGTGGACTGGACTGGACTGTAAAGTGATGATTTCGCCATCGAGATTTCCTGTTAACACTAACAATGCTAAGAGATGTTCTTCATACACCACAAGTTGATGATGAGTTCCACTAACACATGACACACGTTTAAGTAAATTATTATTATTATTATTATTATTGTTATTATAAAAATTATTATTAAATATTATTTTCAAATACTTACCGAGTGAGTGAGTAATTTGTCAATGATATTCCGGGATTCATAATCACTGACAGGCTGATAGTTAGCTTCGTTAGACGAGAGAGACAGACGGCTGGCTGGCTTTCATTCAAAGTAACAACAATAAGTATTGAAAATATAAGTAAGAATTATTTCAACTGGTAAAATACTGGTCGGCTGGATACACTCACTTGTCGTCGATTTGCCAAGAGGAGAGGAGAGGAGAGCAGATGAATAATGCCAGCCAGCCAGCCAGCCAGTTAGAAGGAATCAAATGACTGAAAATGATGAATAGCATTGAATTAGATTGATAACAACTTGGAATTGGGGCTATGAAGTCATCAAATAAATAAATAAATAAATAAATAGAAATCTACATCTGGTTGTTTGATGCAAGCAACCAAAATCTTCAAAGTCATATGTCTTTACATCCACTAAATAGAATATGTAAGAGAGAGAAAACAGTACTTACTTACCTCTCCAGTCAGGTCGTGTGTGGTTATAACCAGGCGTCGTTGTTAGTGTCTTCATTTTTATTATATATATATATGTACTTTGACAACAGCGTCTGGAAATGACGAAGTGGGGGAAATATAACAAAGGTAGTGTATTATCCATCCATCCATCCATGTCTTTGCACCTCTTCCTTTGATGCGCATTGCATCCGCCTTTCCACAATTCCAAATCACTAAAAGCTGCTTGCATCTTGTAACCGTTGTTTTTGACATCAATAAAATCTGGACCAGCTGTATCCATCCACCGAGGCGTCATTATCCATGCAGTTTGCCAGAAAAGACAAAGCATCTACTTCCTACTGTCTAGATCCAACTAGCTGCATAATCTTCAATATCCACCAATCGAACTCCATATTGTCTGAGTTGTCTTCATCCTCCTCCTCCTTCTACTCCTGATGATGATGATGATACTGCGAATATAAATGGACAATTAGTCTACACCCAAAATACCACTGGCTCGCTCGCCTGCATGCTGAATAAATTCTGTAATAATGGTCTTTGAATGTAATCAGCACCGCTTATATACCCCTCGCTCTCTAGCCAAACACATCATCACGCCCACCCCCACCCCACCACAATACACACACACGTTCTCCCTCCCCCCTTGTTTCGTTTGTATTAGTTAGTTAGTTAGTTAGGTTTACATATATGTGATGACCTGATGTGATGTGACGGTGGTCGGTAGTGGTGGTGTGCAAATGAAACCAACATCTATTAACATACGGCATTTTACCCATTATATATATATATATCTTATTTCACCTATGTGTGACATTGCCGTTTTCACTCCACACACCCAGTTTGGTTTGTTTTAATTTTTAGCGAAATATAATCTAAATTCTTCGTTACATTTCATCCATTCATTCGTGACACGTAAGTAAGTAAGTAAGTAAGTATTACACATATATACATACACTAATAGTACTAGTAGTAAGTGTACTATGTACCCGAAATTTTGATCTACTAATATCCTTTTATTTCGGTGTTTTGTTTTGTTTTCAGTAATCGGCTTGTCATCATCATCATCATCAGGATCAAGATCAGGCTAAGGGAAACGTTGTCATCATCATCATCATCAAATATAGCTAAGCGTAAATTGTGACAAGTATAATAATTATCTACAGATAGGGGTGAGTGCCTTAAACGATATGTCTGTCTGAGATGTTCACAATTTCCACCTCATGTATATAACTGAACTGAATTGTTGTCATTAAATTTCGTAACATTTCACTGACGAGATATATGATGTATTTTATTCCTCACTCACTAGTAGAAAGCATCACAGTACATTAACCCTGTCACTCCCCCACCCACCCCAATCTCTATTTGGTTTGTAAATTTATTTTTAGCTTTGTAGCTGTATTTCAGATTTCATAATAATAATAATAATAATAATGGACTACTGATCACCCACCACCCTACCTCTCCGTCTGTGACAGTTATTTGTCATCCCTCCCTCTCTCTCTCTCTCCCTACCAGGGTGGGGTGTACTGCTATTAGCCGTAGTAGTAGTAGTAGTAGTAGTAGTAGTAGTAGTAGTAGTCTTATTTACCACCACTTACTGTGATCACATCACACCTGGGATAAAAAAATTAATCTTACTCGTTCGAATAGACCAATCATGCACCATCATGTGTGTGTGTGTGTGTGTGCGTAAATTCTCTGACTTGTCGACAAGCCTGTAGCCATTGCACTACCTATTCTATTCTATTCCACTGGCGGTATCCTCCTGCAAATAAGTATAATATGAGATTAGTTGGATTATTCAAAATGACCGAAATTGTTATTCAATTAACATTTTAAACTTGACCTAAAAACACATCAAAGAGTAGGTTCCTACAATTTGTTATTATTATTATTATTATTAATACTATTCCCATAGTTGGTTTGTAAGGATTAAATTTGATTTACGAGTTTGACCACGCCAAGCCAAGAATCGGATTGTCATAATCATATATAATTGTTTCTAAATACATCAAGTTCTTTATTGTACGTAGAAGGGATGAATGCACTTCAGGCGCCTTCCATTATCAAAGTGTAATGGTTTCACTGATAAAAGAAACGTGTTTCACTTCTGGAAAACATTTTTCTTAAAGAATATGCTTGATAAGAAATGGAAAACGTGTGAACCTTATCTGTGTAGATGTGTTTATGTGGGTGTGCGTTAGTGGCGTTCATGCGATATTCACTTATAGAGACTCTATGAGGATGATTAAGTCTCTAGATAAATAACTCACGTAAACATTCCATGAAGTTGCCGCCTCCTTATCATGTTGACAAGATGAAATGCCATGCTTATCAGTGTCAAATCACACTGATTTGATTAGATAACAACACTCGCGTGTGCATGCAGGTGCTACTGTCACTTTCTCGTCATATGACAGAGAATATTTTAGTATAAAAAGAGTGTCACTCCCATCCCAGTTCGTCTTCAAACACCATCACCTACAAGATGAACATGAAACTTCAAGTTGTTCTGTGCTCAGTGTTCTTAGTCTTCGTGCTACCAAACTTTTCAGTTGGTGAGTTGTCAAATAGTTTTCTTTGTTTTACCTGAGGTGTTTTTATATTTTGTTATCATTGTAACTTTATTTTGTAATAATCTGACACGTGATAAACTGAGACAGAATATGCTATCGGATGGTTGGCCTGACTTTGATGGTCAATGATCACTGCCAGATTTTACCTGTTCTGGTTTATAGCTGTTGAGCTCTGGATGAAGAACGAGGTTACCGTGCAACCTGATCAACTCATGGTCATCATTTCCAATTATTGATTTTCAGGTTATTGGTTTGATGATGATCTGACATCAGTCGTGAACCGCTGGAAAGGAGAATAGAGTACTGAATAGCTTCTTCTTCTTACTCTGAAACTCTTCCTCAGTTAGCATCCACCGGTTTTCATTTCGTAGAACTATTTGTTAGGCGGAGGTGGGTTTGTAGACCATTCCTGTATTGCACTCGATCCAGCTATCGTTGAATTACAACTAATGCTCATTAGGGGAGTATAACTGAACAGTCGTCATATCTACAGCTCCGTGTTGATAGGTTAATGATATATGTGAGCGTTTTGCCTTCAGGGTTATCGCAATAAAGACACTTCATAGATAAACACCATCGGATTATCATTTAAAAACGAATGCTTTTTGGTCATACAGGAATATATATTTCCTGAATTCAGGTAACTCATTTATTCTGCAGCATAAAGCCAAAAATGTGAATACGTCATTAGATTTTATGTTTCCCTATTCATACGTTTATGTTACATTGTGGAATTTGAACAAATGTCAGTCAGGTAATGTAAATATTGACTGTCGGAAATAATTTCTTCATCAAGTACACTAACTACGTCCAACAAGTAGACGAACAAACTTTTTAAACAGAGTCATTACCTTTTAAATCAACATTTTATTGTGCAGTCTTACATAATCTTGGTTCGGTATATTAGAGGAGTGTTGCTTTCAGTAAAAACGTGTAATAAATTATGCTCACTTGTCACTGTTATTAATTTGTAGCTTATGATCCTGCTGAGGGCGAGAAGTTGTAAGTTCCTCATTCACATGACATTTCAATTTTATCCATAAGATTTTGTTTTCATTTCTTGCGTTGCTGATGCGACATAGGTCTTCAAGTCTTAGTGTTTGTGGACCGATCTGCTCTGTTTTTCGAGCTTATTATCTGACTACGAGCAGATTATTCGACGTTTAGAAATGTGTCAGTCAGGGATAGAATTCGAACGTGCCTGATGTCTAGCAACCATCCTCTCACTGAGTCATGGATTCATGTGTGTTGTGTCTTGCGTCGATGGGTGACGAATGTGAGAAGCGTTTGACAACTATTTCATTCCAATCAAGGAATCTCAGTCAGTACACACCACGCCCCTCCGGAATTGCGTAGCAAGGCGTGCTTACGAATTATTCCGTCACAGGGACTGAGTATGTTATGCCGAGTTTCGCCCGACTATTGTGAATAATCGTCGTGACCACAAAAAGAAATATAATCTAGACAGATTAGATAGTAGTTTGAAATGAATTGAATCGGAGATAAACTCATTTTCAATGGATGTGAGTAGTGGGTATCATTCCGATATTTAAACATTGATAAACTGGTTCACTTTGAGTGAAATAGATGAATACAGAATGAAGTCTTATTTCGTAAGAGATTATTGATTATAGCGGATAATTTTGATGCATAAAGATGCAATGAAGGACGTTACATTTGCCCTCTCTCCCTGCAGAACACAGACGCTTATGTGAATTTTACATATAACAATCAAATATTGAGTATAGCTAGGGGAATGCTCTCCCTCTGATATTAATCTTGATTCGTGCCTAGATTCAGTGTGGTTGTGGCAGAAATGTAGAGCTATTCCACAAACGTTTCGTGAATATCTCATAAACACATTGTTTATGATTTGTCATTCACCTACAGGAATAGTTTCACTGGGGTTGATATTTTTGAAAGACCAAACGATTAGTCGGTGGAAATGTATTCCTCAAAAAGGACCATTTGAAACGGCGATTTCATCCAAGTTCAAATTCAGCCACTTCAACTGATTCCGCTTTTTGGTGAGGTGTTTTTTTACATAAAGTGATTTAATTTTTTAAAAACCTGGATGTATTAATAATTAATGTTTATTTTTGTGTCACTCAGCAAAGCTTATCTGGTTACCGCGTAAGTTATAAAAACAAACCATGATATGAGTTTAATGCATTTCATTTCTCGTTGGCTGGTTGGTATTTCTTTACTTTGAAATGGAGTGATGCTTAGTTCTCTAATAATAATTTTAGCAATGGATGTCTATTTGAGACAATGTGTGAAGACATAGTGCAGAAGTCCTTCGCGTATTTATCTCCAGAATATTTTGTCTTCATGCAAGATTTAAATGTTAAGTGATTATCTGTAGTATGTCATGTGACGTAATAGGTGATAGGTTCTCGTTTGGTTTTCTGTCTGCAACAAAGCCCTTGTTGCTTATCCTTTCCGGTTAGCCATCTAATTTTCAGTAAAGGTGCAGCTATCCTGGATGTTGATGCAAGTAGTAGTAGTAGTAGTACTAGCAGTTCCTCGATACAGATGCTTTTGTTGTCAATGGTGTCAAGTTAATTTTATCTAGTGTCGTATATAAATAACCAAAAAAACAAATAATTCTCCTTTCAGTATCGATACCTTCAAAATCCTGTAAGAAAGATTTTATTTATTTACTCCTTACATTCATCATTTATTCATTGCTTTGTCGAAACTTCTAGTAAAATGTTCAAATCTGGTACCTTATTGTATATCTGAATATTTTCACCCACGTAAACCGCTATATACATATAAATATAACATAGGTTTATTGTGAAGATCATTCGCCATCGCTTAAGTCAACTGAACGGAAAGATGACATTGGCTGAGTTCTCAGGTTCAGATGCATTTAGGCTAGGAAATTCATAGGTTGGGAAACTCAGCTGGTGGACCACCTTGATTCATAATCTTAATTCACTAAGTCTTCAGAGCCATCCCTAATTGCATGAATAATATTCGGCCAATTTTGTGACTAACCTACACAGTTTCTGCGTTTCACACAAAGCTTCTCATTTAACTGGCCAAATCTCTCACACTCATACACAGTATGCTGTTAACCCTGATCAATTCTTCCGCCTTTTTAATAGGTAAGTTTAGGTGACATGTAACACATACACACAGAAAAGTGACGTGCTATTAATATCCCTTGTGCGTGTTATTTCACCGTCTTCACTTCTCTAATGTTCTCTTTTTTATTCGTCAGTGATCAAAAAGCAGAAGTATTGTAAGTTGTCTTCGTGTAAATATGAATTCATCGGTTATGTTAGACAAAGGTTTATGAAGTTAAACATTGCTCTATGTGGTGAAGATCAGTTTTCATCAATTTCATTAGATACATTGCCAGAATGTCAGCTCAGCACAAATTCTAAGTAAAAATTATTAGTGTAATAAAGTTGGTCAAAAAAAAGCTGACATTCGGTATGTAGCTTTTTATTTTTAAGAAGCAATCTGAGGATTTCGCGTCAGTGGCATAGAGGTTAGGACGTTCGCTGACCATGCACATGGTCCAGGGTTCGATCCTCAGCCACGGACTTACTCCTTTACCTCGCTAAGCCAGAAATAACGCTGGTAAAGAGGAAAGGTTGGGCCAGGTGAGGCTAGCAACCTCATCCTGTAAAATAAACACTGCTATAGAAACTTCAAGCCGCTAGCTTGAAGCTCTATGTTCCACTGGGGAACGTGAAGGAAAGAAAAAAGCTGAGGACTTTAATGCGCCTCATATTCTAATGTTTTGATATTTGAGTGAATGCATTACCAAATTTTATCAAGCCAGAGATCATTTTATACATTATGGAGCTACAATTCGGTATGAATCCACGACTTATGACCTTAAGGCGGCGAAATGAATAATCCTCACTCATAATTTTTTCCTGTACCGTTTATTCCAAACCTATTCAGTGCTGTTCTACTTTGATGAAACATTTGAAAAGTGTTCAGTGTTCAAGTAATTTTCATTGAAAGAGAGGAGTGTTCGATTGAATGTTAGTCAATCTTCACTCTAAATATTTATTAATTTTCTTTAGGAAAGAACGCATCCGATCAGTGTGAGTTTCATATTTTGAAGAGTTAGTTGACCACTTTTCATATGAATTCAAAGTTCTTTCTTCTAGTTACTGATATCTGTACAATCTCAGCTATTTTATGACGCTTTGAACGGAAAATACTGACTAGCTTTTAGTATTTTTGGTGAATATTTAACTAGTTTGTGACATAATCTACACGAATCTTGAATACCTCATCAATCTTATGGTGCATCTTTACCATACACATTGTGTAATGATATGTTTGGTACTCGAGTTCCAACTAAGGCTGTTCAGGTGTATCAGATTTGTGCAATGTCAGTTCCTAGAGGTGTTTTGCAGAATAAAATAAAAACAGTTTAAATCTGCTCATCTTCTCCTACTCCCTTGAGCATCGTCTGTGGTTGGTTTCAATTTACATCCACCTTAATCGACGCGACTGGTTGAAAACATCAGTGATACAGTTTGTGTACAACCGATTCTATACATTTTATTTGATGCATCAGTTCGGTGTTTTTTATCACAGACTAGGAATTTGTTCATATATGTGTAAAACTTGGGCACTGTGCTAGTAAGTAATTCCATATTGGTTTGTTTATTAGATGTATCACACAATGATGAAATATTACTATTTACTGGATGACACAGTTTCGAACAAAATTTATTGTTCATAATCATATCAATCGATTGTAATCACACAACTTCGAAACTTGACTTCTATAGTTTTCTTTGTCTTCTCCTATTTGTCGTCGTTGGAGTAGTCGAATTTTCTAGATATCTGGGTGGACAGGTGTTGAATCATTCCTATTACACATATTCTCTACCAGTTGATTCGATGAGTAAAGCTTCTGTTATCAATCTCTGCCTCCAATATGTGACATTAGATTTTAAAAAGGTCATCCTATCCCATCTCATCCTATGGTTGTGTGTGATTGCATGTAATGCTATGGATGAACTGCTCTCTAGATTTCTTATTTTACTTGGGTCAACCAATCTAGATTTCGCTGCTTGATTTTTATGTTCGGCTAGTTTGAATAACTGCCCCTGTTCTACACTAGTTTGACCTATGTATTTAACCTGACAATCACTGCAGACAGGGTATTATTATTATTATTATATTATTGTATCCTTTAGTTCCTAGAGGAACATAGGGCTTCAGCTGCGCACCTCCATTGACTTCGGTTTTCTGACAACTTTTTCACCCTGCTCCAGGTCTGTCCACATGCTTTCATCTCCTCCTCGCATGACCTCCTCCAAGTCACCCTTGCAATGACGACCAACTCGCCGCCTCCCTTTCGGGTTCCACTCGAGCGATGGCTTGTCTAGTGATGTCATTTGATGGTTTCCTCAGCGTATGGCCAATCCATCTCCATTTCTTTCTGCCTATTTGTATTAGATAAATGAAATTGTTTTGTTTTAAAGGCTCTACAGGATTTCTCCTTTAACCGACAAAAACTTTGTGATACATCTAATAAACAAACTAATAAGGAATTTGTTCAGCCAGTCATTTGTCATTCTTAAAGCGTTCCGAGTGAAACATACAGCTTTGAGCTTTTCAAATTTCAATAGTACCAATGTGTGTTTCATTTCAAGGGGATGGAGTTTCTTGTGCTTAACTCCTGTATCAGGTGTGTGTATGTATGTGTGTGTGTGTGTGTGTGTGGTTAGAAAGCATTCTACCAATGAACTAGTTATACATTAGTGTGTATGTACACTTTATGTTTACAGTAGACCTATTTTCACAGACATGATTAAGGAGAGAAAATACCACCAACCCTAATTATCGCTAATTTCAGTTATACGTGGAACATTTTATCTCATGAAAACGAATGAATACGTCGACTACTTTCTCGTCTTATATTCCTATCTGCTCACCTTTTGTGTTTTGGTAAACAAATTCTGAATTTGTAGATATAAAATTAGCGATGATGGGTATGTGATAAATGAATTGATCTCCTCATGATTTTTATAAACATTTCACCTTCATAACCATCTCCACTTTTCAGTGTTTAGTCTGCATCTTAGTGAAGTCGAGATTTTTTCCATGTGTGTGTGTGTGTGTAGAAAGATAATTCACTAACTGTCAGGAAGTCAGAATTCTTAGATCATTTCTGAAGATCCATTGTTGAGAAATGATATCCCAATTCTCATGCAACTATCTTCAACGTTTCTTTCATTATTCAAGTGATATTTCAAAGTAAGTGTTATGACATTCCACATGTTTGTATTTGTCATTTATATTGAAGAATCTCAGGTGACTTAAACGCGCAATTGATTACTCAGTGTAACGTGATTGTATTGAGATGAATATTCCCGAGATTTTGTGTGGACTATGTAATTCCTTCTACTGTGAAATACTTTCGCCGGGATCGTTTATTTCCTGAATTTTTCCATTGAATGAATTTTCATTGTTTGGTGACATTGGGTTTGATATCTCAGGAAAAACATGAATTCACATTTTGTGCATTTATTCATTGTTATTATTTTAGATGTCAAGAGATCACACAATTGTAAGTGCCAGGATTGGATTGTCCTTGTGTACATATTTCAGCATTAGAATACAGCCTAGTAATTTTGGCACTTATTGAGCCCGTTAAAATAGATTCATACGCTCTGTTGCATATAAATTCATTAAATAAAAGTTACTCAATTACAATTTAGACTTTTGGTTTATTTTCCCCCTAGGGCCACTATTCCAGATGAAGAATTGTAAGTAGATTATATCCTCTTTTTAGAAATTATCATTATATACAATGACTTCAATTTGTGAAAGCGATTTCCTTCAGTCGTTAAAATGAATGAAAGTTTCACAGCTCTGAATAGCCACTTGAAGTTGATGAAAAACTTCACATTAACTTGTACATACACTATCTCTGTTTATTCATGTGTCATTGAATCCCCGGAAATTCGGCTGAATGTTCAAAGACCTTAGTCTCATAACCTGAATGTGTCAGGTATTCTAACCTTTTCACGATGAATAACAGACAGACAGCGGTATTCTTCAGTGATCAGAGTGGCACAGTTGATGTTGTTAATGTTTTCCACAATTTCAAGTATAGCGCTTAATATTTTTATTCGTGCTTCATCTCACTAATTACAGGTATGAAGGCATGAGTGAAAAGTAAGTCGAACATTCACTTCTGTCAAAGGTTACATTTCGTCTGAAATGATGTTAAGTGATTTTATAATATTACTGTTTCTACGATTTTCTTTCATTACTATTACTCACGGTACTCAGAGGAGCAGTGGAATGTAGTCGTTACTTCCTACGAAATGAGTGAGACGATTTCACTGAGAGTAGATATTTCTCCACTTCTTTACGATGTGGTAAATTAGCTTCTAAATCTGAAGATTCACTAAACCTCAGGGTTTCAAAGTTGCAGACGGTGAGACGGACAGACAGCTGATAGCTCTGAGTTGATGATAGCTTCTTTCCCTGTTATGCTTAATAAACGATTCCTTCGCTTCACTTCGCCTTCCTTTGCCTCGTATTGGACAAAGTTGTACATTACTCACACAAATCATCTGCAGTAGTCAAAGAACTTACCAATAATGCTCATCTTTCTATCCATCCCCAGGATAGTCTCTTTTCACTGACATAATTATCATTCAAGCGGATCGTTTAGTTATTTTCGAATGGTAGACTTCCAGTCTGAACTGATGACATATGAAGAAATGGATTCTCATCTAGAGTTGAATTTGGATGACTCTCATTAACTAGGTCATAGATTCGACCGGCTGATATGTACAAAGAACGATGGAACAAGAAATCCTCGATTCTACTGCTAGTTACAATCAATCTGGCAACATTAGACATCAGACAGCATGTTGTAATCCAGTTTAATAACATCTTGTAAACAGTAATAATAGTATACTAAGGAAATAATAAATAATTTGGTTTTTTATTGCAAATTTGTATTCTCCCTTCAATCGTCTTCAGTAACAATGATGTGCATAGATTGTAAGTTTATGTCATTTTTAGTAGGCATTGATTACACTAATTACCACTATATTTAACATTTTTATGTCGAGCTTAGAATCTTTTGATGTGGTTTTGTTCTCTGAGCTGGATGGTTAATTTGCGAAGACTTCATCAGCCTATTGGGTGACATCTTCAGCGCATACTTCAATTCGCTGAAGTGAGCTTTAAGATTTCTACACGAGTTTATTAATCATCTCTTTTCGTGACTTTGGACGTGACTGGTTGTTTATGTGTGTTTCCACACCTTCTAGGTTACTTGTATTGGAACTGACTGTTTCTTTGACTTGAACTTTGACCCTTTGTGTGTGAAGTTTCTTTCTTATTGGTTGATAAATTTTGTCTATCTCTATGTGTCTATTGATTGAGGATTCACTGGAATGTCTAAAAATTCTGTAGCATTCTTGTTGTTTCCTCTCTCTAATATTTGAACGTTGGTTGTCCCAGTCGAATTGATGTCCGTGGTTGTCTGTATGGAGCGAGCGATATGAGGGAGTGGATATCATGTCTTTTGATGGCTAGTTTATGATCGTGGATACGAAGGCGAAGGAGACGTTCAGAGAACAAGACCACATCAAAATCATCCACCTGAGCTACAAATCTTCTTTATCATATCGAGCTTAGAATATTTAGGAAATTCACATTTCAGCGCCCATATGAGACTTACTTGTAAATTCCACTTTAATTTTGACATTTCAAATGAGCTATGAAGGTCCTCCAGTATTCATATGCTAAGATGAACATTTTGAATAGATAGATAGACATTCATTAACTACGGCGATAATTCTTGCAATCTACTTGAAATTATCTAAGGATATATAAAATATTTTAGCTCATTATGGATATGAACACTTCTCATCATTCATAGATTTATTCAGTCTTTTGCAAACGGATTTCTAGATGCATAATTGACACTGCTGAGTATCGATTGATGAGTGTGAAACTCAGTTTTCCGGTAAACTTTGACGCCCACTGATTGATCATTTCGATGGCAAATTATTGGTGAATATCTTATCTTAGCTTATTTAATTAATAATTCATTCCATCTGAGTTGAATAAATTAAGATGGAGTGATTCAAGATCACTGTTCTTCTATGTCTGATATTCTCGTCTTCGCCTTTTCATACTTCAGAACTGACAAAGTTTTTGACATGTAAGTTTATTCATTCATCGTTCACACTGATTTCAATTTGAGTAACGCACAAATGAATTTTATGAATGAGGAATAAGCACTCACCAAAATCAGAGGAACAAAGATGGCGGCATAAATTGTGAGCATTTAATTGATGTGAAGACTTCTTTCCAGCGAGTGATGGGACAAAGTCTCACTCCCGATTAACGGAATATGAACAGATACAATTTCAGTTTACATTGAAACACCTTTTGCTTCTCGGCTTTCTGTTGATTTTTAACTTGCCTGGTGCAGATATAAATAAGCCCAACTGGAACTCAAAGATGGAATGATTTTGAAATTCTGTTCACATTCATGAATATTTTTTAACATTTCCCAATATAAACTTCACACAATTTTAAGGTTCATCTTACTCAGCAGTTATTTCTGGAAACAAAGCATAGTTCTCGGTTATTTACAGGCTGGTGAATGAAAATGTCGTGGATTATATTTCAGGTGTGAATGCAGCTGAATGAAGAATTCAAAATTTAGGTGACACTGTCACCAAACACACCACAGTTCTCTACATGATGACGATTAGTGACAAAATGCACACTGAACTCAATCAAATTTCCACAATTATGAGTCTCACAACTATGAAAGTCCCAGGGGGAATTTATTTCTCCCCCTACTGAGGTGCAAATATCAAATAATGAATAACTTTGTGAGAGAGAATTATTCGAGATTTTGAATTTTGATTAATACATTTTTAGACTTGAACAAGATGAATGATTTGGTTTTTTATGACATCACCGTTTTTATTTAGCTACATCAATGCTGATGCACCGTGAGTTCCTACTTATCGATTCAATATGTTGTTTCTGTCATGTTTGTTGGAATTTGGCTCATGATACAGGTGACACCTATTCACCTTTCGATCCTAATGCTTGATTTTGAGGTCGACTGCTTTCTCCAACTCCTTCCTCTCCAAGAATGCACAAATATTCTCGAGTGATTTCATGAAAATTATATCAGAATATAAACCAACTATTCATCATCGCATACATTTTGCTCACCCCCCTGCTTTCGTTATTCTAGATAGGGCTTCACTTTTAAGCTTTAAGGTTACGCTGGTGTTGGTGCCACTTTTTTATGAGATGGGTTGGTTAGACCTAGTTACAATTGCTTCTACTGACTAGCCAAGATTTAGCTGTGGGTCGAACTAGGAAGTATGACCACCCAATGAATTTTTGATAGCAGTGTTCTTCAAAAACACTCAATAATTCCGGTGTAAAATAAAGTAATTTTTGCGGGAAATTCTGAACTACAACATAACCGAGTATTCAACCGCTTACAAATGCGAATTCCTGACAACTCAAAAGAAGTTGGTACAGCTATTATCCCCCCTCCCCTTGCTTGGCCTATTAAGACATAACCAACTGATGACTTTTCCACTACCACCGCTTGTTTATATTTTCAACCCCTGTCTTTCTTATCATCCCTTAATATAACTATCACATCTTCATTATAAACGTGTCTCATTTCCTTCCCTTACAATCTAACATTACTTAATCGGTTCATTTGTTTAGACTAGCCTTTATCGACTACTTCCACCTGAACATTTGCTTGTATAATCATGCTGTTTTTTTTTTCATTATTCGTGTTATCACAGATCGCCTCACTTTTTCATCCTTATTATTGATAAGACCATTATTATTATTATCATTGCTACTGTTATGACTAACTGCATAATTTATATTCACCATCTTATTATCCTATAGACAAAACACCATGATTGGTCTATATTTGAATTTTTATTTGTAAAGTTAAGTAGGTATATTAGAGTTAAGCCTGATGAAATCTAATTGGAAGCGCAATATTGTTCACTTAAATGTGTTGTTCTAAACTCTCTTGATGTCTGTAGATTCATTCACCATTGACAGTCGAAAGTTGAAGAGTGAAATGCGTGCCCATCGTAGTGTTCATCATCTAATATTTTCTAATTCTAATTCTGACCATAATATATTTTATTCATATAACCGCATGTTTTCATTTCTTTCAGGCAAAATATGAGACAAGCCTACCTAATGATGTAAGTTTATGCTAATTGCAATGCTGATAGGATTTGTATTTAATAAATTGTAGTAGGCTTCAATGTATTTCACTGGACATACTAGATATAGGTATGTCAGAGGAGACCGCTGTCTATCCCGTACATATAATGGGGGTTATGATTAGCTGGTGAGGATTTTACTGTGACTGGGATTTTCGTTTCACATCGCATTACTACTCACTATGGAAATAGTAGTTTCACGAAAATCCAAAGCTGTCGTCGCAAGTAGGATTTTAATGTGACATCATTGTTTACACATCGTTTAAGAGGTGATGTATGCAGTTTTTATGCTTCCCTTGTGAAATTACATAATTTATTTTATACTCTTGTTTATAGGGGGAGTTATCCAAGCGCTGCGTAAGTGGTCATCATGAACGATAATAATTCACACTGTTAGGCGATTCATAAATATGATTTAACAGAGGAATCATGTTGTGCTTCGTTGACAAGAACAGAATTCTTGAACGAGATATAGGGAAACATTCATCTACACACCTAAAGACATATTTTATACGGATTTGTAATTCTACACTAAACGAATTCATGACATCTCAGGCAGTAGTGAATTCGTTCTTCTTTGTCGAACTGTCTTCTCATCAACTCTGAAGTTGGTATTTTCCTTTATGTCAATGTCTCCTAGTATATCGGACCGATTACTTGTAGATCTTCCAAATGATCTCCAACAATAGAACACGGTGTGTCCGAATTTCGATGAGAGTTTTATCAGAAAGGAAACACTATCTTGTGTGATTATGAAGTGAAGACAGTAAGTAGGTTGATTAGATGCATGAATAATGAGATTATATAAACACTGTTCATGCACTGTTAAGTGAAATTACATTCAAAGTATCTGATAGTGTGAAAAGAACACTACCAAATATGGTAAACATCGATTTTCTTTGTATTACTCCATCACGAGACATCTATATGCAGAAACTGAGTTCTTGAATGTAACAAAATCAACCGCAAACACTTCTTCCACGCCTGAGGACTATTTGTCACCCCACTGAACAAACTGACAGTTCATTTATTAGACTTGTTTATCAAAAAGAAGGATTAACGTTATTCACGCAAAACACCTCTTCATTATTTAAGCGGACAATTATTGGTCTGAGCGAATTTCAAACATATTCTACATGAGAATGAGTCTTTCTCCACAGATCTCCTGCATACTCGACAATGAGGCGAAGTTGAGATCTATCAACCTCAAATGATAGTGTGTGTGTATGTGTGTGTTGCAAGACACTTACTGTCAGCGTAATTTGAAGGCGTTTCAAACTTTTGATTTTGACCGTTTTGTTTTTTATTTCATCATTAACACAGCTTAATCCCATTAGAGGACTACAGGTAGGCATGCATTAGTTTTGTTGATGCCAAAAAAAATTTAAGCAAACTAAATTTTTTGTATAAAATACACTTTGTGACAACGAATATCTTCGATTTCCAACTTTTCCACATAACCCAGTACGCTTTTTGATGTCAACGATATCTTAATTAGTTCCGTATTTCAGGACATGCAAATGAATACTACCGCCCCAGGGTAAAATGTATTTATGCTTTGCAGTTTCTGTTGCATTTTGGTTAGGTTTTTGGGGGTGGGGTTGCAAGCAGCACGCTCCAACCTTCCCTTTTTATCTGGGTTTGGGATCCACTAGAAAACTAGCGGGCTAGTAATCTAGGCGAGGTGCCTACTGACTGGAGGAAAGGTTACCTCGTGAAACTACCAAAGAAGGGTGACTTCTGCCCCACTCTGCAAGAACTGGCGAGGAATCATGCTCCTATCGACGCCAAGTAAAATTCTGGGTCGCATCATCCTGCAGGGAATAAAAGACGCACTGAATACAGAACTCCGACCAGAAGAGGCTGGATTCAGGAAAGGCAAATCATCTGACCAAATTGCAACTCTACGCATCATCATCACAGAACAAAGCATGGAATGGCAATCAAACCTCTACCTCGACGTCATAGACTTTGAGAAGGCCTTCGACAGAGGGCGTTGACCGCGAAGTAATTTGGAAACTACTCGAGGACTACAGCGTAAAGTGCTCCAAATATTCATCAACCCTATGCAACAGCTGTACGACAACGGTACCTGTCAAGTGATCCACAACGGAAAACTCAGCGATGCGTTTGGAGTAAACACAGGAGTCAGACAAGGGTGCCTATTATCACCGATGAATTATACTCATAATGGTGGTGGACTGACTGGATTATGCGTCAAACAGTGGGAAACGAGAAGACAGGGGTATCCTGGACCGACCGGCGTGAAGAACCTAGTAGACCTATATTTCGCGTGTGGATGATTTATGTTTAATGTCACACAAAATCAAAGACTCACAAGAGAAAACCGACGAACTGGTCAAAGAAGCAGCCGGCGAAGACAGGAATCCAGGTGAGCATAGACAAGATGGAGGTTATGGAAATAAACAACCAACAACAACAACATCCAGTGCCAATCACCATCATCGGGAGGGATTTGAAAAAGGTTACTTCATTCACTTATCTGTGGAGCCTCTTTTCAAATACACGAGGAACGGACGAGGATGTCAAATGGAGAATCGGGAAGGCGAGAAACACATCAACATCATCAACCTGAAAACAATCTGGAAACCTTCGTCACTCAGCTAGCACCAACAACAAAATTGGGATTATCAATACAAACACGTCAAGTCGGTCAGTTCTCCTTTACGGATCAGAAACTAGGCGGGCGGGTCACAAAGAATATTTCTAACCAACATGTTGCAGAATTTTATCAAAAAACAACTGTCTTCGCTGGCTCTATACTGAAGATCAGATAGCCGGGTCGGAAAGAATCACCAACAAGAAGCTATGGCAACAATTAAAACAAACTAATCGCCAACCAACAAATATGCAGGAGAAAGTGGAGATGGATTGGACTCTCACTGAGGATGAGACCACTGATGGACATCGCGCGCGCGTCAGGCCATTGCTCGAGTGGACCAGGCCGAAAGTAAAGCACGCGGCGAGTGGGACGTCAGTGCAAGATTGACATGGAGGAAATGGTGTGAAGAGGAGTTGAAACAGTATGAGCTAATATGGATGCAGGTGAAAAGTACAGCAGAAAGAAAACAGAAGCAAGTGGAGACGTGCAGTTGAAGCCCTATGTTCTGCTAGAAACCCAAGGGAATAATAATAATATGGTAAAATAAATCGATAATTTTATCACGTGATGAAGGATAACTTCATGAAATCAAGGCGTTTGTGTTTCGTTGAGAACAGGGTAATATCGATAATGACTGATGGAATAAGTCAGTCAGAACGAGCTAGCTCATTCATTCATAGTGTTGAATTTCACCTGAACTCAATTTATCCCAAACTTTGTGTTTTGAACACAAAAGTGTTGTGTTATGTGGTACATAAATGTATGATATTCAACATTCATTTGTTAGAAACTGGCGAATTAGGTAACACGTTCTGTTGAAGTAAACATTCGTTGGTTTATACAGCCCCAGAATAAACACCATAACACTTTATATGCAGAATAATTAAGCTCATAGAACATCACTGTTTATAAGCGCTCTTCAGAGTCTTTCCCAACGATATAACTCAAAGAGTGAAATTTAAGCATGACGTATGTTCTTTCCATCGAATCTCGCTACACTACTCAAAGATTCTGTGCACATCCCAGACTGTTATAAAATTCGATATACATTTTGTATTTTATCTTGTTCTAGGACCACATGCCTTTTGGGAGGGTAAGCAAAACGTGTATTCATTGATGCAGTATTCAACTTGTTCGCCATTAATAATAATCATTAATAATGGTCATTCCAACTCACAAGGACATCTTTCTAATTTTCTTCCTATTCTGTTTCATCTTGTTTCAGCTTTCCAAAACCTCAAAAATTGAAGTACGTTGGGGTTTTTCGTAGTTATCTTGTCAATGATAGGCTGCTGGTTACTTGGTTGGTTACCAGGTTTCCATGTTTTTGCATTCCTTTCTGGCCACCTGATTTATGACTATTGAGACCATGAAGGAAGATGTTGATTGAAATCTGCGGTTACCTGTTGAAAGTACTTTATACTATATTGAATAGATCGCAGTCTTCAAAGAAATCTCTATTACTCTCAGTGAACGAACATCACGGTACAGAATAATTATTCGTCAACAATTGCACCATGAATGATTCCACGTTAAGGATCCATAAATTGTTAGCTATACATGAAAGTGTAACCGATACAGTTTTAATCTAGAGTAGACCTAAACAGACAACCTTTCGACAGATAAGGGTAATTCAGAAGTGTTTCTTAGACAACTGATGAATTCGTTCATTCATTCATTGCTGTTCCATATGAAAATATTTTTGATTTTTCCTTTTTACCAGTTATGACACGTGAGTAATTCAGTAGTATAATACCATGTGAGAGAATTTTTATGGTTAATTATAAGTGGTCATTTGCTTTTACAAAAATGAATGACAAAAAGATGGTTTCAACAGTGAAGAGAATAATTTCCAATGGTGTTCACTCTCATTTTATTTGTTTGAAATTGTAGATGTCAATGCTTTGCTGCCGCGTAAGTGAAATGTGTCTACCACAATAATTTGAAAATTTACTCAGACATATTTCATAACGAGTGGTATATTTCTAACAGATGTTGATGGCTTCATAGAGCATCGAAACGTGTGGCGGAAAATGTTTGTGTGATGCAGACTGATAGTGTTCTTTTCAAGGGTCTTCATCCAATGAAAAGCTGTTCTCGAATCGTTCGCGTTCCGTTTGGAAAATATAGATTAAAGCGTTTGAAGAGTGAGTAGCAGTGGCATTGTTTGCATATGGTGGAGCTGCTAGCTTCATAACAAACTTTCTTCGTTCTCCAGCATCAACACCACTTCGTAAGCTAAGAGCAGAGTAGGAGTAGGCTTCTGTTGGGAATCGAACTCGAACGACTGATTCACTATAGCATTAAAAAAGGGAATGATATTCACACACAACCTTCGACCATACTAGATCCGAAATAAAGGAAGCACTAGCCGAAGTAGATGTATACAACCGGGATAATTATGAATTTGTACACACCACCAATTCAGGTGAATGAAATTTATTTTTGAGAGATGAAACTCGAATTCATCCCATCGGTAGAGTTAGTCAATTCTTCATTTGTGAATTAATTTGAATTCTGTCCAACAACTTGCAGTTATCCTCTTTAGAATGCATCAATATTTCATATGGATTTTTGAAAACAACTCATTTGAGATGTGAGTGATTATCCCGGGCATTATATTGTTTTCATTTCTTCTCTAGTCTCAAAGCGATTGACAAAGTGTAAGCTTTCATTTTTTTTCATTGTCATATTACGTGAGGATGGGAGTGTGTCCATGACATTATGAACACAGTGTAACGCTATACGAGAGTTAGTACTCCATGATAGTCAGTTGACTGAATGATGTTTCGATTGATGATATTGTAGGAGAAGCTATTTTCGAAATCCACTGCGTTGCTCATACTTCCATTCTCCGGGGTCTTGAAAATCCTCGAAACATTCCAGCACGCAAAAATGTGTAATCACTTCATTCCTTTAATTTACCTGAAACTCACAAGTAACAGCACATAACTCACTAGTTTTTAGTCGATTAATTTCGAAAGTATTCGACAGAAACTAATCAGTATAATGATCAGTGCGTGTTTGTGCGCGCTAATTCTGATTTTCATTTGCTTTGAGGTGGGAGGATAAATTACTTCACTTGTTTGAACTTTACTATGTTTATGTTTCTTTATTTACAGTCAAGGATTTCACAAGCTCTTGTAAGTTTCAGATGACTTGTACACATTAAAGGTATCACAGTTTTCAAGTCTTTATATACTCGTAATCTCCCACAATCTTGATGAAGTACTGAACAAAAAGCTTTTCTATCAGTGAAGTTGACATCTAGTTAGTTTCAAAAGTTATAAGCGGTGATTTTAGATAACAAAGTACTAATTTGAAGTTCAAGGTTCCTAATATTAAGATTGTTTAAGCATGAATGTGTTTTCAGGTATTAGTTTTGTAGGGATTTTGTTTGATTGTATGGAAGATGGATTCCTACAAAACCAGTACTTGAAAATTAATCTGATGCTCAGTAGCGACTGGCAATATCCAGGAAGGTAGTCACCTGGGATACTAGTGGGAGGCCGTAACCAGTGAATGGGGTACAGCAGGTTGAAGATGGGGCAGTTACTCATCAAAGAAGACATTGCGAAATATTCGCGTTATGTCGTGAACTGGCAGAAGTTAGAATTCAAGAACCATTGGATCGGGTCACAGTGGCTGAATTGACTACGAGCTTGCTAGCCTTGTAAGCAGAAGGTCCTCGGTTCGAACCCCTGTGGTGGGTGCGTACTGATGAAGAGTCCTGAACTCCCAGGCTTTCTAATGGTTCTCTAACTGGTGTCGGCTCATGATGAAATCCTCCATAAAATGAATGGCTTTTCTTAATTTATTTAGAAATAGGACTTTGAAGGTTATGTGTAACTTGAGTGCTAAACCACATTCTTCAACTCTCCTATTAATGTTACTAAGATAGTCTTGTGACTCAAATTATTTCGTGTATTCCTTCGACATTCAATAAGATGTAACTTGTTGGCTCTCGACATTCATGCATTAGATAAGTGGATTAAGCAACAGGAAAGTCTTGAGTCACAATATGCGAAAACTTAATTCTGAGTAACTGACTGTTGATTGAATAATCTCAGAAATTTGGAACGGGAAGTCTGTGTGTAAATCATATTCTGTAGATGGCTAAACTGTGAGCGAGTGGAACACAGTGGAGCAGTGCAATCTGATGGTTTGATTAGAAACATTCAACGATTTCTAACTATCGTCTTCTTGAGATGTCTGATAGTATAGGATATGTTGCAGTGTCATTGAAAAGTGTAAGGATTCTGAGTGAATTGGAAATCGGATTCAGTGGTTTCAATACATCCAATAGCCAACAAATATGCTTCTTGACACATTTAATGAGATTAGCATCAAAATCATAATTGAAAAATTGCGAATTAGGCATTAGCGGTTAGCACGCTCACCGACCATTCACATGGTCCGGGGATCAATTCCCGGCCGGCGCACTCCTTTACCTCGCTAAGCCAGAAATAATCCTGGTAAAGAGGAAAGGTTGGGCCAGGTGAGGCTAGCAACCTGATCCTGTTAAATAAACACTGCTACAGAAACTTCAAGCCACTAGCTTGAAGCCCTATGTTCCACAGGGGAACGTGAAGGAAAAATTGTTATTATTATTTATCATAAAAATACTACGGGAATTTTAAACATATACAAAAAAAAATGTTTACTGCAGGAATTATACTTTCAATGACTGGAAAAATTTATCCACGTGATTGCATTACCTATGCTCTATTTGATCGAAGTATAAAATATACTTTCATCATTATTATTATTCTAATTTATTACAGCTTCAGAACGATGTCAGGATAGTAAGTCATTCATTTTAACAAGTTGTGGAATCCAACTGTTAATGATTCATGAGTGTGTGTGTGTGTTAGTTATTCCATGTTAAAGAAACCTTTCAGTTAAATAGCAAATGCGTCAAGTCGTGAGAAAATCAACTCTGCAATAATCGAGTCCGCCGCTTATCACTGACTGCCCACGGAATGAAATTCCTTCATTTCACTGAGACCAGATAGGGACGAAGAGGTAGGATTCCAGGATGGACACTCATCGCACTCAGTTGATGGTGGTGTCAGTCAGCATCTTGGAGAATCACCGTAGTTAGAATATAAGATTCCTCGAATGTCGACTGAGTGGATGAATGATCACGTGATCATTGTTGTGAACTGAAGGACTTGAACTAGACGAAACGTGATGTCATCCGTGCATACTGCTAGAGGGCAGGCATATAGGAGGTGATATGTTTCATGATAATATGTAACTTGACCTGATAACAAGTGGATGCATAGTACAGTCGATTAACAATACTCAAAACTAGTAAGGAAATTAGCATGTTCACACTGATGTGGTCCAATGCATCTGCCTGGTTTTAAGTTAGGCATAGTCAGTCTTCGACAAACACTCAAAACGGACTTCAGGAAGCATAAACATACAGTAATTTCAAGTCATGAACGAATAGTTATTCTGTCTATATAATCAGACATCGACATTCAATTGAAGGTTTCTACCTTTTTAACAAACATCCGATAACGACGAATTTAATTGTCTTCTTTAGTCTACCACACTGTAAGTTATCAATTTGACAATAGATTTTACACAGACACCTGTTTTCAATTGTTTGCAACTTTGTAATGATTACTGTGAATCACGATCACATCAGAATGTGTATGCAAGAAGAGTAGATGTATTGACTGTTATTTCTGTGAGTAAGTATTGAGCTGGTGGAATAGAGCTTAGCTGGAGGTTTAGGGATAAGTTGGACAGGAAAGATCCAAACAACGTATCCTGTGCCTAAAAGAGAAATTCTTCAGTATCAGGTATATATACACAGGCTTCCAGGAGATACTGAAAGTATCTGAACTACACTGAACTGGTACGAAAATATACTTGTGTTCCCCTATCGAAGGAATTATTGACTATGATTAGGATTAAGCCTACCTACAATAACAGAGCACCACAATGAATCACCAGTCCATATATGCCTTGCACCAAGTTCCAGGATGTGTGATCTTTCTTAGATGTGAAATATGGAATGACAGAACGTTTAAGAATATAGTCACCCTAGTGGACCAAATAAAGAAGTTGAGCATGAAATCAGTGTTTATTATTCAGTATTAACCACAGCAATTCGATATCCTACCCAGAAACTAAATGAAATTAGCTGAATATAAGGACAGAATTTTAATCAGTCATATATGCATTCGTAGTATGTTCAGCAAACTGTAAATTTCATTCGTCTTATGTCTTATTTAAACAAAACTCAACTGTTCAATGTTTCAATGAATAACATTCGCTTTATTTATCCATTTGTTTGTCTACAACTTAGTGTAAACGGATTTCCACTGAATATTTTATTTGTAATATTGAATGTAAAATTAAACTTTTGTAAAATTGAAAATAAATAACACAATGAAATGAAATACTTGTGGTTTTTGTTTATATTTCCCTGAGTTGCTATGGTGATTCTTGTTTGTAGTGGCACGGAGGAGATGGAGACATTGATAGATGAATAGGAAGAGAGTCGTTGAAAAAGCAGACGCTTTGTTCATCAAGAGAGTTAGGAGTATGCTCGACGAGATATTTGAAATTCGTTTCAGCCTCGAGGAGGTTAATGAAGAGTACCTTGTGTTGGAAACGTTATCCAGTGAATATTAATATATCACATTAGTAACAAACTAATGTAACACTGTGACAGACATATTCTACTTAATAATTTTTTGTTATTGCTAGTCGCATTTGTTTCCTTAGTCTTACGCGAATCCAAACTGAGGAAGAATTCGTGGCATATACCGTCATTCCCCTACTGCATATCCATCACTAATTTCAATGATCGAGAATCAAGTATTCATTGGTCTGATTCGAAGTTTTATTGTATTCGACAAAGCTGAGGATGCGTAGGAGGACCAAAAGTCCCCTTAATATTCATTCTCATAACAGAATCCTGTGATGTAATTAACCTGCATCATTTAATTAACTGAACATATTCTCCACATTGGTCACACAGTTTCAAATGACGGTTGCAGTCAGATTCACTTGTAAAATGAAGACGAATTTCCTGAAGACAGCATGCACTCGAATTCCTCACAATGCTAAAGCACTAGCCATTCACATTCTGTTATTACTCATGTAATGAACTGTATTGTCATGGTGTTTCTTTCACGTATTGCTTGCTTTCCTTTTCAATCTTTGGCTATCCTTCGTGAATATTAAGCTCCATTTTGATTTGTGCACCCCTTAATTGACACATTTCAGCCATTCTTCCTATGCTATTGCTGATTCCATCTTATTTTCTAAGTTATTCTTCATTACTGTGCAACCAGTGACACCAGTCTAAATGTTTCCACTGACTTTAAGTAGCATTCTGAGTAATCATTACTGCTCATTAGTATCCTTCTGATTCTACTTAGTTTATGTTGAGAAAGATATTGGAATGAGTTATTATTCTAATTCACTGTTGACAAACTACTACAGTCGGTACCTTCTAATCGCCTGACACAGTGTAACCGTATGGACTAACTGTTTGGAAATAGAGTCTTTGCTGAATTGAACTGGTCTTCTCGTGTAAACTTTCCACTGGGGAATCTTTCTTGGATTGGTATGTATATCTCATGGAAACCGACGAAACCGTTCGCTGTTATTTCGTTAAACCTTTTAATGTCAGTTCATCACTGGATGTTAATATTTATATATATACATTTTTATACTTTTGATTACAGCTTGATTCCATACTGTATTTTTGGTACAGGTATGGAATTTTCAGTATGTAATGTCGGTAGCCCAAATTTTGCAGACCGACCATAGATATCAGGTGTGCGTCGGTGGGGGTTCGAACCTCGGACCATGTGCATGGTCGGCGAGAGTCCTAACCACTGTGCCACTGACGCAGGAAATTCGTATTCAAAAGGCGTAGGTATTTAGATTTGGAATAACCGGTGATGAAGGATTACGTGAAGACTAAGTACACGTCATTCGAAGTGAAGATGTTTAACCATTCGACAAATAAACACGGCAGATAAGAAGTGAGTTTCCAAAAAGCATGGAACACCATAATTTGACAGTATAAATTCTCGTCCTTGGCGATTAACCTTAATCTCAAAGCTGTCGACATCCGTCTCCATCTCATAATATATTGACCATCCAAATACATCATTGTTTCGTAATTTGTACTCAATAGCTTCCCATCAGTCGGAAGCTATCGGTAGGAAGCAAGGGAACGTAAAGGAATCCGTCAATAAGGCTTTTCTGTTGCCTCGAACACTTGATCTTGGCCGGTCTGCTCTCACAATCGGAGAGCTTACCATTGAATGATTCGTCACAAAATTAACAGCAGGCATCTTCAATATTAAGTCGTAATGGCATAAAGTGAATATGTCAATATATGTGATATTTAATTCGTGGAAACACTTTAGACTAAAGAAAATCAACAGAGCATAATAATCGATAAATACCACTATATGGAAAGACGTTATTTATTTTGAAATTGGTTTATGACACTGGTGACTGTTATCTCAAGCTTCTTCACTGGTAATTCAATTCATAGTAACATTTGTGATGGTGTACTTAACAAGTGAGCTGCAATAATTCATTCTGGTGACAAAGTACACTTGGTCTGACTGACTGTCTCACTGTTTCAACGTAGAACACTGCACAAAAGGGGCAGAAGTCCATTTCAGCACACTCCATTTACTCCACACAGATGGAAGAAGAAACGAAATACTCTGAAGAACCAATGTGAGCACCAACATACTTAAAAAAACATGAGAATTCAGTAGATCCAGGATATTATAATGACCGATTGCATCCCGAACATTGAAAACGGTTATTTTCAGCCATATCACCAAGATATCGATATTTAGTATCCCAAGAACTTCAAACAGACAATCGACACCTCGTAACGTGATTGGCAGTAGTCTGCTAAATTACCTAGCTAAAAAGTTTCATTGTGACCTAGAGTTTTGTGCAGAACTACGATGTAGTAGATAGTGAGCAAATACTAACCTAAATGCGCTGGCTAATCTCTCCTAATCTCACGTCAACAACAACTACAACAGTACCAACACTGGCAAGCAAAGTCAAAAGAAAAGTTTAGACCTCGATAAGAGAGCTGTCACTGTCTCAAACAACAGACAGAATGGTGGACACACACTCTGTATGTATACATTTAGAATGACCTTGAAAATGCAATAACTTAGTGGTGCATTAAAAACATTAACAGCCGACAGGAGTCCTGCAATCCTAACAGAGGTAACAACAAAATTTCTCACGCGATAACTCCTTAAAATAATTATTTTAAGGTTTTAGGCGAAATTAGGCATGTGGCTTATTTGATGTCACGCTAATTCAGAAATTCAGCTGCATTCCTTAATCGAAATCTGTACTCACACACATATTTCGAAATAATTTTGAGTTTGTTGCTGTGTATATTTCTGGTTCTGTGATGTATGGCACAAAATAATTGTTGAGTACTAATTCAATATCATATCGAGATGTCGCACAAACTAATGCTAATCAGCGCTGCTGGAGTTGCTGCTAACATTTCATTGTCCCTTTAAATAACATTTGTAGCCATTCAGTCGTTAAATGAGGGGAATTTGAAGGAGATGTTGAGAATTTACTCCCCAGCAAACACTTTCACATAATCAGGGGATCCCGTTCTTCAATTCTTCTCATTGATACAATGAAGACACTGCTGATAATTGTCTGATTCCAGCTACAAAATTGCAGTGTTGTAATTTCAACAGTGTCGTTTCATGTGACCACATAACCCTGTAGGCTAACACAGATGTTCACATTAATATCAGGCATTTCGTGTAATTATAACTGATGAATTCATTCAAACATCTGAAGAAAAGAAATCCTGGTGAAACTGTTCATTTATCATTTATGTTAGAAGGTTGTACAACAGACGATCACCAGATGTATCCTTTTATGAACTAACATCTGAAAACACTAGATGTCAAGGTTGTCAGTTCATAGTCAATGGCACAACGGTTAGGAATCTCGCTGACCATCCATACGGTCCAGGGCTCAATCCCCGGCTGGTGCATACTTGATATCAATGATTGACCTGCTAAATTTGGACAACCGATATCACATGCTGAAAATTCCATACTTTTACCAAAATACTGTGTGGAATCAAGCATATGTAAAATAAATTTTAAAAAAATCGAGTCTTCTTGATTGTCGTTTGCTTTGTGCATGACATAAGCTTGAATTTGTAGTTATTTTTGAGGTATGATTAATAATAACACAATCATTGAATAGGAAATTTTATGTGTTGCTTCTTAAGGGTTGTTTCAATGCCAAGACTAATACGACTTTTATTAATTATGGTTCAGCTAGAGCAATTTGAATAGAAGCCACCTCTAGACTTGGGAAATGGCTAGTTAGGCGTCTGAAGGTGACGCGAAGAAGATCGTTTGAGGAGGAGATGAGAATCCATTGCCAGTAATGAGGGCAGCTAATGCAGACTTCACACAGCAGGACAAAGTCGATATGTGTAGCTGAAGCTGTATGTTTCACTCGGCACCCAAGGGAATAATAATAATTTCAGTATTAGTAGTAATACTAGGAGTACTAGGATGTACGGTTAACGACTGCATTCTGAAGACAATAAGCCCCCATACGTAATTCAACTTGTAAGAACAAGACGTAGACAGAAAAGAGAATTTTCCTTTCGACGATTCATAAGCTGTTGTACAGTGTTTCTTATATTTAATAAAGTACTTATGAGACCAGTTAGACACAAGTAAAATTTGTCCTCGAAAACGTATTATGTAGTGTAAGGTATATTCTAGAAGGGTTTACTAATTGGAAATTAGAAAAGAGGCAGACGTTGACATGACGTAATAGGCATGAGAAAATGACTAATCGCTATAGTTGTGTACAGTGGATAAGAACTAGTGGAAAGACGATAAAGTGTTTTTGGTAAAATCTGTATGAAAATAACGATGAGGAGAATAATAATAATAGAAAGCTTACATAATAAAAGGAAGCAAAATTATAGTGACAGCGTTACTCTGGTCATGGTAGAGCTACGGAAAGTGTGTGGTGCTTTTGAATGCAGAGGTCTGGTTTCAGACCCCGAATAGGCAATGATTTATCAATGCTCACATGGCGTATTCGAAGTTCTTTCGTACGATACTGAGGAACTCTGTGTAACACTGAGAAGCATTCATGCAAGGGTATTCGATATCCAGAATTGACAAGATGTTCGAGCATAGAGCTGGTAGTATTCTTTTATTTCATCTGGCTGGCTAGCCAAGCTTGACAGTATCGCAAGATACGTTAGCGAACTTGACGTTGCGTATGGCCGGCATACTTTTCTCGACACAATTAAGTGAACTGATAAATACACACTGAGGTGTCCAAGAGCAGCATCTCGTCCTTAAAGTTAGACTGGACAAATTGTCGTCTGAAG